TGCTCTCAGGCTCCTCATTCCCCTGCCGGCCCAGCACCTCTGGTCTCTTCCTGTATGTTGGCCCCGCCTCACGCAGGACAGGCAATCCCCACATCACCCGCCCAAGACCCGAGACTCACCGAGTTTGAGCAGCTCTTCATGCTTGTTGGATTCGCTTTCTGGTTTGGCGTTTCCCAAAAACATGGCTGTCTTGCACTAAGCCACTAAGCTACTGCCTCAGCATCCGTGGCAGACCGTCGGCGGCGCACGTTGTCCTCCTCCAACCTTCTGCAGCCACTGAAGAACGGCTTTGGCATCAGCTTGTACCAAGCCCTCCAGCCTCTGAGTAGCTGCATCCAGAGCTGCAATCTTTGCTTTCAGCTGGTCACATCCAACCTATCAGGGGCAGAATGGCTTGTCTGCTGACAATTTCTCCTAATTTCCAAGGGCAATCCTGCAGCTTGACATGCTCCAGGGCTGTTTCACGTCGATCGTCGGCCAGGCGGTCCTGCTCGCGAGTAACCCTGTTATGTGCGTCTAGAGAAGCTCTGCCCGTCATCCAGGCGGCATCCCCATCCTCCAGGCTGCGGCGGTGTTCCTGCGTGGTGGCCTGTTCTGAGCGCCAATCGGACACCTCACCTCTGCAACGACATTTTGCATCTTCTGCTTGCATGTTGGCTTTCCGGAAGGGCAATATCATCTGCGGCTGGGACGTGCAAGTTCCTCGCATTCCCCAGCAACCTGGATGCAAGTGCTCCAGCATGACCTAAGCATGGCCTGCTAAGCTGCTAGATTCTTTGCCTCGAGATTCTTTGCCTCGAGGCCCTGCAGCACCTTTCAAGAAGCTTTGCAGTGCAAGCAAGCATGACCTGGGAACTGTTTGCCAATCCGGCCTCTTCTTCTTCCCGAACCTTCAGCTCCCAGGCCTCTGAGCCATCTACATGCGCATTCGCTGGAGGCTGGAGCTAAACCCCTGTCCAACCTCAGCTCTCCGTCGTGCAGCTTCCCCCTGCATCACAGCAGCACCGAATTGCACACGACGCGCGCGGTAGTGACTTGGCGGATCCCACTTATATAAATGGCCACAACCCTTGAAGGCTCATGCTACGGTGCCTTCTCGGTTTGAAGGGTGGCTTGCTTGCTGGCCTTTCGCAGTTGTGTGAGATCATGTTCAAAGCCTTCTGAGAGGTTTTTTGACGAGCGCAGACAAGGTGCAAAGCGCTGCGCTGTCTCTCGACAGCTCGCGACCTCTGCCTGGAGAGGACAAGCTGTCCAAAGCCATCAATGTCTCGGTGTGGGCACGTAAGCCTCGTTCCGAAGTTGCAACGCCTGCGCAGCTCCAGCTAAAGTATTTTTTTACGCGTTCAGGGCTTCTGCGCGCCTCTGCTTGTTCTTCAATTTGCTGCTGCAGGTGCCTGCCGCCTAGGAACTCCGAAGCTGTGCGAGGGTGAACGGCCGAAAAGAAAGCTCCGTCAAGCCCCGGGCAAGTTCTCGCAGCTGTCAAAGCTGCATCCGTTTGTCGGATTGAAGATTTTAGATTGACCTCTTCCTCGCCGCGGCATGCAGGCTCTGGACAGGAAGCAGTTGAATGTCGGGCCAGATTTTTTGTCCTGCTGTTTCGCAAGCGTTTCCTCTTCTGCTGCTAATAGGCGCAGCTGTAGCTCGGCCTCGTTTTCAAGCATCTCAATCATTGCCGAGCATGAACCGAGGTGTTTCCTCCGAAGCACCTGCTTTTCAAGAAGCGCGGCCAGGTCCTCCAAGCAAAGAATAAGAAGACCCTCACAGGATCTTGGAAGCTTCAGGGTGCCTCCTGGCCCTTGGCATGAGCACTGGTGTCGTCATCATAGAGCCTGGAGAACTCCAATGCAAGTGTTGTGCATCGCTTGTCAAAGTGCAAAAGCTTGCCTTCTCAGCATCTCTTTGTCTTCGCTCCAAGCCTTACAAGCTGCTCAAAGACTACAGCAACAACAAGCACCTGTGTACAGGTTCTATCATTGCCTGTGCATCCGCTGCCGAGGTTCGCTCCAGGGCCTTTGGGTGCAGAATCGACTTATCTGCATGGGCTCCTGAGGTGTCCAAGCCTGCGATTGCGAGACGAACCTAGCAGTTTCAAATTGACTTTCTTCACAAGAGAGGCGCCGGCTTCAGCCCAGTAGCTGGCTCAGATCACGGCCCAGGCGCCCCTGGCATTATTCTCTCTCTTGTTTGGAGGTCCCAGGGAATCCTTTCTCTGCAAGACTTCAAAGGATTCTGGCCTGCAGGTCGCTAATCTCGGCAGAGATGCAGCCATGCCTGCACCAAGCTAATGATTCAATGATTTGATGCATCAGCGCAGCATGAGCACAGCTTATGCATCAGCTCTTCTGCCTGTGGCTGGAGGTCGCCTTCTCCAGAAGGTGGGTCTCCTTCTCGCGCCTTTCTTGTTTCGCTTGCAACTGGCTTCGAGTCGAGTGCAACTGACAGAACCTAAGACCGTGGCTTCAAAGCGTGCGCAAGGCGCTGCACTGCCTGCAGGACGGCTGCCAGCTTCAAATGCTGCACGTGCGCGCTACCATGCACAAACTCCATCTTAATCTGCAGGCTTCAGTGCACCTTACCACACAGGAACCTGCTGGTTTCCTTATTTCCAAGAATCATGCTTCTTAGCGTCTCGGCCTCCTCTGCTTTGGAGTTGCAGGCAGAGGCCTGCAAAACGGACTCAACCATACAGAGTGTTGCGGCGCCAGTGTCCGGCCTCTTTCAAGCCAGGGAGCAACACCATGCGGTCTGCCGCAGCGGCCAGAAAGGCCTGCTTTCAAATTACATGCCACTTACATGCCATTCCGTGGATGGGAACGTGTTTCGCAGCATGCGCAGCCTGCATCTCAGCTTGGAGAGCCCGGGCCTCCCTCCTAAGGCAGACAAGGGGCATGCTTCACCAGGAAAGGCTGCTTCATCTCACTCAAGTAGCTTCCTTGCAGTGACCTACAATGCCTCAATTCAACCTGGTGACAGCTGGTGTCCCTCGGGGGTGACCAACGTGTATTTTCAACCGGGCAGAGTTGCCTGAGAGTCGCCTCTTCTTCACGCAGAGCTAGTGTTTCCTGGTGAATGCATGGGATTACGGATTAAGCAAGTCACACAAACACTGATTGCAGTTGCTCCTGCGCGCTGGTCTGCGCATGGAAACGCCAGTGCCTTCTGCAGTGAGGCTGTCAGCTGCTGAGTGAAGACATGACTGCAGGGTCCTGAACTTCTCGGATGCCCTCAACTTGACGGATGCAAGTCTGTGGCTGGCCATGTCGCGTGCTGCGGCGAGGTGGCGACTCGACTCCGCCATGAAAGAGCTGCGGTCGTTGGCATGCTTTGCAGAAGAGATTTGCAGCCGCTGTTCGTCCGCCACTCCTTGCTGAGCAATAGTCTCGAGCTCATCCCGCTGGAACTGTGTCTGCTCCAAGAGCCGCTTGTTTGCATCTTTGATGGCAGCCAATGCACCCACAAGCTCCTCGTGGCTCTGAGCTTGCCGAACCAACTCGCGATTTAGGTTGTCACAACGCCGCTTGGCCATCTCCAGTGACTGCAGGAGATCTCGGCTTCCGACAGGTGCCACAGCAAAGCTCTGGCTGGATGCAGGCAGCGCAGCCTCCTCACAAGCCTCGCTGGCCTGAAGCACCTGGCTCTTCATCTCGCTCACCACCCGCTGGATTTGAAATCTATCCACTGGAGGCTGTGACAACCCCGGCACAGGCATTGCTATCGACTGTAGCTGGTCCAACTGCAGCAGCAACCGTTGACATAGGCCGGCCCAGACTTGGTATGCAGCAGAATCTCGGCACCGCGCAGCGAATATCTCTGTCCAGTGCCTCCCGTCACCATGGAAGCGATGCAATGGAACTGCGTCCATGGCTGCCAGGGCTGCAGCTGCATTGTGCAGCAGGTACCTTTAAATTCTATCAGCAGCCGTGCAGCATTTGTCATTAGCAAGGACCAATGCATCAATGATTAACGGACTCAAGGTTAGCCACCTCATCAGCTTACTTAGTCATCAAGGCCAATGGGTAAACAGACTGCAGCACGGTAGCATTCAGGATGATCTTTGCGCAGCTTTTTGGAGTGCCAAGAATGCTATGACAGTGGCAGCTATGACTTCAGCAATTGTTAAGCTGCGAACCCGACGTCAAACAACAAGGTTGGAGATGTGCTGCAGAATCTCTTCTGCGGGCCTGCAGGTCTTTCTACTGACATCAGCCCCAGAGCCCAACATCCCAAATCCCAATCCGAAGCCTCGGACCTCCCAAGCCTCCCAAGCCTCAGGCCTGTAACAGAACAAGCCATGATGGACCACGCCAGTTCTTCTTGGAATTACTTGTTTTGTGAGTATGCAGGTTGCGAAGGGACTTGTGGCAGCATCGAGACGTTTTGATTTCTCACCTGTACCAAAGTGAAAGACAGCTGAGGAGTCAGGGCATGACAATTGCGAGCTAAACATACAAGAACGAACAGCCTCTGCAGCCAATGATTGTCGAGCTGTTGTACTTAGAAGGCTTGCTGTCCCTGTTTCTAGAACGACAAGAAATGTCAGGCTTTGCAAGGCTCCCGATCCAAGTGGATTCTGTCTTTGCGCAGGCGTCTGGCAAGCGTTCTCATGGTTTGTTCCTGGCTGAGCTCTCCGAGCAAGTTCCTGCCTTGCTGGCCGGCGACCGCTTGATCTGGCTTCGCGGCAGGTCTGGCTGAGACAGGTACGGCCTGTGCGTCTTCTGAGAACTGTGCATGACATCACTGCTCCCACCCTGATGTCACAAGGAAACACCCCTCCGATCATTTGCTTGGCAGCCAGTGTCAGCTCCTCAAATCGCAGGTTGGCTCGGATCAGATCAATCTTCTGCGGTGGGCCAGCCTCGAACCCTTCAGCGTCTGCAGAAAGAACACTGAAACAACGTCAAGGACGCGGAATCCGATGGTCTTGCCGACCCAGAATATTGACTGCTGGCAGACCTTTGCAGTAAGTTTCAGCGACAGGGCCTGCATGGAACATGAGATTTCTAGGTGATGTAGGTGCTGGGATTGAAGCTGCCAAGGATCTTCGCAAGCTCCTGCAATTTGGATTTGCAGGGATGGACGCGCTTTCCCGTAAAAATGTCCCACAGCCAAGTCATGTAATTAATGCATTTCCTCGCAATCACTCCAGATGGAGAGGCTGGCTCGACGCAAGCTTCAGTGATTTCGCAAATTTGGAAACTGGACGGCTCACGGGTGGCCTCTTTCGACACTGTCGGTCTGTGCTGGGTGCTTCAGCTTGCTGGCTTCGCGGAAGCTTCACTTGTAAGGCCAGTCGGCAGAGCTGGTCATCGCCACGCAGCCCACGGTTGAGCATGTACTCCGCCACGTCACGCACAGCCCGTCGATCGCTTTTCAGACAGAGGCAAACTGCCCCACGGATCTCGGACAGCAGTGTCTCTGGGAACCGTGGAGCCGAGAGCGAAGCGTCAGTCAAAGGAACTTGTAGCAGGACTGCCGCGGCTGTCCAGCGCACCTCCCACTCATGATGCGCCATGGCACCCATGATGACCTCAGGCATGAAATCTATGCAAGCTTCCCTCTCGAAGGCAGTTGTGTAGCGAATTGAGGCCAGTTTGCTCATTCTTCACCTTCCAATGGATTTATGCGCTCTCTCTTAGCCTACCTGCTACGAAACATGGTGCGCAGTCATGGCCGAAGAGCTCTCCCCCGCCCCATTCACATCACCTTGTTTTAGGCGCACATGCGTCGAACCGGTGCGACGTCTCTGCGTTGGCTCGGTGGGGCAGGGTGTTTGCAAGGATGGGCAGGAACTATTGAGAATGACCTAGCATTCCTTCACAGGCAGGCAAAACTGTATCTCGCAGCCTTCATATTAATCAGCAGACTCCGCTTGATGCGGGACCTTTCGCAGCAGCTGAAAGCATGGTGCTGGGGAGTCCAACAGTTGGAGGGGGGGTCTTCGGCTGCGGTAGGGCCCCATGGTGTATTTGGGAAGATGTGTACGTTCCACGGGCAGATCTTGCAAAGGGCTTGGTTGATATCAGGGCTGAGTTGCTAAAGCCAAGGTGCCTGCAAAGCCAAAAAGCTGCAGGCATCGTGCCTGGCCAGGAAAGGCCGCAGCGAGGCCGCAGCAATGCGCCGGAAGGGCCTGGCGGATTTGGCTCTAATAATGATAGTATATCTGATAGCCATGTTAATAACACAAGGTACCAATCATGTCATAATTCTTAAGAATATTAGTCATGTTAGAAGTCTTGTACAAAGACTAGCATAAGAATTTTAATAGAAATCATGAATATAGTTATTGCTTTTGTCTTGTGTTTGGCAGGAGCCTTCTCGCATCCACGAGCCCTGCGGCCAGCGCATCCAGCCAAAGGCTCGGCAACATCATATCCTCGGATTTTTATCGGCTTTTGTTGGAATCTGTACTGTTTCAACTGGCAATTATGACAGTCGCCCTAACCAGACGGCTCTTTGAAGTGCAGTCATTTTACAAAAGAGCCAGACAATGTGCCCTCAACTTTGCAACAAATAGGGTTCGAACTGAGCCTGGTAGCTGATGACGGACCGATTAACCAGGAGACGCTGGGGGCACAAAGAGCAGCCGCACGCCGCAAGCTCTGACAAGAGCTAAAGCCAGCAACCACTTCACGGACGATGGGCTCCAGGACAGATGAGGGGAGACGCCGGAGGTCAGCCCCGAACATGTCCAGCATTGAGGCCAGCAGTCTGTAGCCGCTGGCTTTGACATATATACGTGCGTCCTGGATAAGCCCCAAAGCCTTTCCAACGCCTGCATCTTCATGACCAATCGACAAGCTTTGTATCAATTCAGCGCCGGCAATTTGCATGCAAAGAGAATGGCTCTTCAAACTGGGCATGACGAGCTGCATATAGCCTCACGCTGTTGCATTCAGAGTGTAAAAGGGGAGCCCAACCCAGACCCTTCCATCAATTGTATCGAAGAACTGGAAATACAAACCCAATTCTCGAGACCTGGGAAGACTCTCGCGCAACAGGCCAGGGAGCCTTGTACAGGTAGTTGCTAAACGGCTTGTGTGGTTAGAGCCTTCTTGGGTATGCTTCAGGACTTTTAGGCGGGCAAACGCGAAAGCCCAAACAAACGGACCAGGGCCGATGTCCCTGGCAATGGCAGTTTGTTACAAGACCGTCTGCAGTTCCAACACAACATGCAATCTGCACTGGTCACTGGTTGCAACGTAAGCAACGTTCGTTCCATGGCTTCGCCAGCTTCAAGAATGCTCTGACCACCAGTCGCCGCCTTCCCTTGCTCCGGTGCGACAAATGCTTGACCAACCTGAGCACTTAGAGGATTATACATTCCCAGTAGGTGGATGCTGACTGCTGCATGGTGATCTGGGAATGTTCCCTGAACAGTGATGCAGCTTCATCTTAAGAACTATTTCGTCTATGGCGCGGCGAGAGTAGTCGGATGCGCTCATCTAAGCCGAGGCTGCCGGCCAAGCTGGTGGCCTCCGCTCGCACGCCCTGATGCCGATCCAGCAGTCGAGGCCCAATTGCACGAAGCGAACTGGACGGGATCTTACCCAGGCCGGAGCTCCCAAAAGCTGCCACCGCAGCCCGGCGAACCAATGGAGAGCCGTGGCACAGGTATCGCGTCAGAGCTGCTGACACAAAGCCTGTTTGACTCTGCTTGGATTGGCGCAGAAGAATCCTCAAGCATTCCGGCACTGCGCTTCGCATCTGTGGAGCTGGACTCGCCACACAGGAGATACATGACCTCAGAGCCTCTTGCATAGACGTAACTTGCAGCAAGGCCTGGACTGCAGAGACGCGAACCCTGGCATCCGCCATGTGTTGGAGAAGTCCGGCTATTGCGTTGGCATCACCGTGTCCAACAAGCTTCAAAGTTTGGATGCCAGCATCGCATGCCCATCTGCAGTCGTAGGCTAGGCAGGCCAATGCCGTGCGAATCACAGTTGCATCCCCTGGCTCAGCAATCAATGCCACTGCCTTTACTGCCTCCTCTCTGACTTCTTTGTCCGTATCCTGCAGCCTTGATGCAATCCCAGAAAGGACTTGCAGGCTCTTGCAGCCGCCGAGAACGTGCTGGAGGGATCGCATGGCCTGCCGGCGCACCCTAGGACTGCTGTCCGTGATACCTTGGCGACTGTAAGTAGGGGGTGCTCCGATTAGAGCCGCGATTGCAGTAAGCGCTTGCTGGCTTCCAGGCTCTGCCAGGGACCCTGCAGCCCGAGCTGCTGCTTCCCGAGTGGCTGGGGAGTGGCGTGGGCCCAAAAAGCCCAGGATACAGAAGAACTGCTGCATGTCAGGAGCTCTGTTCATGATGACAGGAACAGCAAGTAGTATGGCCAGCTGAACCTCTTCCACGTTTTCAGCCTGTAAACGTGACTCTAGCAAGCGGACAGCGGCGACGTGGCCCTGGGGAGCCAGCTTCTTGATTGCATTCACTGTTGCAAGCCTCACTGCTTCTGCACCGTGGGCTTGGCACCTGCAAATTGCTGAAAGGACTGTTTCATCGCCGGAGGCCGCTTGATGCCCGATGGCTTGGAGGACTCCAAGCACGAGCTCCGGCTGTCTCATCCCGGACTCCAAGCAGCGGCATAAGGCCCGCAGAGAAACCCGTTTCCCAGTCACTTCACTTTCCTCCCGAGGTAGGCTGCTACAGCTGCTGGCCTTAGGCTTAGTTTTCAACAGCGTTCACTATTGCAGGTCTATTTCGCCTGCACGGCATGCAGCCCAGATGCCAGCTTCACAAGGCACATCTTTGCCAACGGATCCAGAGCAAGGAAGTCCGCAGCCCAAAGCAACTTCTCCAGGTCCCCGGGTCCTCCTTTGCAAAGCCTGACTGCAAGGAACGTAGAAGCTCAAGCGCTGAGAAGCTGAAACACGAAGTTAGTTTCAAGATCGAGCAGCTTCTTGCTCAGGACCCACTTGCCCTGATTACGGAACTCGTGGCAGTGGGCAAGCACCCAGTGCAGAGCAGCGCTATCAACGAGTGGCAGGGGAATCTCGTCACCATCCTGTAGTGAACAGATCTTGCTTCACAACTTAATGTTGACTTCACCTTAAG